GAGCTTGCAGTGAGCCAAGATTGCGCCACTGCACTCCAGCCTGGGCAACAGAGCGAGACTCCATCTGAAAATAGACAAATAAATAAATAAAAAAGATGTCTGAGAGATATCCAAAAATATATACACAACATATAAGTGGATATACAAATCTAAAACTCAAAGGAGACGGCAGGACAGTGATACAATGGTTGAAAGTCCTCAGCATATCCACGGCAAATATCCAAGGACACTCAGGGAGGAAAGTAATAAGCTGAAGGAAGATCACTGTTTAGGAAGTGAAAGAACCCACAAAAGAGAGCCAGCAGGACTGCTTTGGGGGAACCAAGGAGAGTTTGCTGCATCATGTAAACAAATTCAAGGAAATTAGACATTTTAAGAAGCGACTCGTCAATGGTGTCAAAGGGTGGAAAAGAGCCTAGTAAGACACAGACATTGAGTTTTCATGGATTCGACTGCCCTACCAGATACGCAACTACTGCAGTAACTGCACAGTAACCACACACAAATAAATTAATGTTATATGACATCAAGAAAAAATACTGAGACAACTGGCCATCCATTTGGAAGAAGAGCTTTTCCCCACCACATACACAAAAATAAGTATTGAAGTAAGGAAATGTAAAGAGAAAAACTTAAAGTACAAAGTAATAAAAGAATACCCACTTAAGCTTGAGTCAGAAGATGCCTTCCTAAACAAGACCTGAAATTCAGTAGCCATACGGAAAAGTTTGAGACATCTGACTACAGAAATATGAACCCTTCTATATGGTAAAAAACATCATAAATAAAAATTAAGCAAGCAACAGACTGGGAAACAATATTTACATCCTTAATACTAAATACATTATACGTATCTATCTCTAATACATAAAGAATACAGATTAACATAAAAGATAGCACAATACGGCCGGGCGCGGTGGCTCACACCTGTAAGCCCAGCATTTGGGAGGCCAAGGTGGGCGGATCACGAGGTCACGAGATTGAGACCATCCTGGCTAACACGGTGAAACCCCGTCTCTATTAAAAATACAAAAAATTAGCCGGGTGTGGTGGCGGGCACCTGTAGTCCCAGCTGCTCGGGACGCTGAGGCAGGAGAATGACGTGAGCCCGGGAGGTGGAGCTTGCAGTGAGTGGAGATCACGCCACTGCACTCCAGCCTGGGAGACAGACTCCATCTCAAAAAAAAAAAAAAAAAAGATAACACAATATGAAACAGGCAAAGGATATAAACAGACAATTTACAGAAGGGGATATGTAAATGGCTAGTACATAGGTGAAAAAAATGCTTAATTCACAAACAGGACGTATCATTTTTTTTTCCCAATAAGTTGGGAAGATTGAAAAGACTGATGTCACCCAGTGCTGATAAGGATGTGGGGAGACTAGACTATAGAATCTTGATGAAAGTGCAACTTATTACAAACTTTTGAAAAGTAGTTTGGCAATTTTTGTTAAAATTTAAAAAGCACATATGCATTTCTGAAAATCAATTCCATAAAAATAAAGGGAGAAGTACATAGATCTCTGCCCAAGTGGCATTTTTTTGTAATGGAAAAATGGAGAGAGAAATCGGAATGACTTAAATGTCCATCTGCAGAGAACCTGTTGCATAAATTGTGGCATAGCAATAGATTATCATGCAGGCATCAAAAAGAATCAAGTAAATCCATACTGTGTAGGGCCTGGAAAGAGGCACCTGATATAACGCAGTGGAAGAAAACAAAGCAGACTGCACACCGATTTCATTTCTAGAAAAAAATGGAGTGATGTGTACACATGCGTCTGTGTGTATATATTCATTCACTCAACAGGGATTTGTTGACTGTCTACCAGGTACCAGGCACCAGGCACTGCTCCCAGGGTCCCAGGGCCCATGGCACTGTTCCCTTCTAGCAGGAAAGACAGACAAGAAACAAGTGAATAAGATTTTCAGGAAGAACTAGAGTTGACAAGGCCATTAAGGAAACATAAGTCTGTAAACATACACACTCACACACTCACACAAATGGGAAGAGAGTGCCCAAAGAGAGAAAAGTTGGATGAACAGAAAGAAAACTCTCATTTCTTTGTATTCTTTTTTTTAAATAACAAAATAATGGACAATGTTTGCTTTTTTGTATTTTTCAGTACTATCCAAAAGTAAAGTTACTGGCTGTTTCTCTGTCTGGACTCGGGAAAACCAATTTACGTCAAGAGCAGGCTTGTTTTGTTTGCAAACCTCACCTGTGGGGATCCACGGGTCTGCCTCTCCTCCGCCCCAGGCTGGAGGACAATGTGAGATGAGAGGCAGACCCAAATCATCCTGCAGTCTTTGCGGGGACCTTGGCTGAGCCCTGGAGACCAGGGCACCGGGCAGGGGAATAACCGCGTGGGTGCAGGGAGGGCGTGTAGATGGAGCAAAGGGGCTGCCCCTGAAGAAAATGTGGGCTGCTTAGTCAACAATCCTGGGGGACAGGGAGAGATGGGCAGATTTGGGAGACTTCTTCCTCCATCTGAGGCAGAGTGCGCTGGAGTCTCTCACGGTGAGGTGAGGAGAAACGAGTGCGTCTCTTGGGGTGAGGGGTGGGGATTCTGGGCTGGCTCCAGCTGTGTGAAGCCTCTAGGGCTATGCCAGGGCTCTGAGGTTAGGCTTGGTCTGTGAATTTCAAAAATACTCTCTGCAATGTACTTTGGCCACCAAGTACTCAGTCAACTTTGTAGATACACACACACACACACACACACACACACACACACACACACACACACACACAGAGAGAGAGAGAGAGACTCATCCACAGCATCCAGGTGGAGGGGGTGGTTGAAGCAGGTCTGCACCGGGTGACAGAGTGAATGGGAGGTGAGGAAATGGTGACGCAAAGGTCGGTTGAGAAGGAAACAGCAGTCACTAGGTAGGGCCCAGGTACCACAAAAGAGACAATCTGTGTTCGGAAAAGCATGAGTGGGTTTGGGTTTACAGGCTGAGAGGGAGATGGAACATACCAGGCAAGAGGCCAGCCAATGGGACAAAGGGACAAGAGGGGCAGGGCAGACGCACAGCAGACGAGGGGCAGAGGAAGGACACTACACTCTGAGCACAGAAGGAGGTGCGCTCTGAGGAGGTCAGGCTTGGGGTAGGAGGACAGAAAACTGAAGGTCAACTCAGGAACCCTGAGTCTACCTTCTCAGTGAAGTGCCTGCAGAGAGGAAAGAGGACACAGGATGGAATGAGCGTGTGAGGGGACAGAGAGAAAGAAAAATGAGGCTGTGGTGTGGCTGTGAGGGCCTCCCACAGCTGGGGACTGTGAAGGGGACCTCAGTCTGATGACAGGTGATTTTCTCCAGCAGGGGTGTTAGACCGCATGTGGCTGATCTAGGGCTATGGATTTGCTGGGAGTCTCCTGGTGTGGACCAAAGGAGATGCAAAGGAGCTGAGGGTGTTGCTGAGGAAGGGAGTGGAACAATGAGCCATGCGATTAAGGCTGTGGGGAGGGCAGGCCGGGAGGAGGCTGACTGACCAGGAGGCTAGGACGGGACCATGGCCCCAGTGGCCTCTTCAAGGGAGAGGAGCATGTGCAGCAGAAGGCAGGCCATCAGAAAGCTGGAAGGGGAAAGGGCACGGTCACCAAGTAGGAAAGCGGAGCTGAGTGCGCCAGTTCAGAGGGGGCAATACCGAAAGCCACAAGGTCCTCAGGAATCCTGAGAAACTCCTGTCAGTAAACTACAGAAGGCAAAGCATTTCCTAAACTGCTGCTTAACATGAATCACTACAGATACTAGAAAACAATCCACTGTTAGTTGCTGAAAATTCCCAGACAAAGGCTAACCCTTGAAATGTACACGTCCCACTAATGAATATACAAAGCGCAAGTACAAGGGAGGGCAGATAAACTCAGTTATCAACTCAGTCACTTAAAAAAGAAAGTCTTTTTTTAAGAACGCACCCAAGGGACGTGGAGGATGCTATGATCACATCAGGTGACACCCAGACACCCCCTTCTGAGTACCCACCTTCAACAGCTCCACAGCGACAAGGACCTCCTCGGCTGGAACCTTATTATCTCCCAGCATGTTAGAAAGAGTCCACTTGAGAGGCTTCAGCAGGAAGACCCCGACCCCCCAGGAGATCCAGCTGCTGTCTACACTGGCCATGAAGTCTGACTCCCGCTGCAGCTCCCCTCGACTGCAGGGAAGAAAAAGAAGGGCGTGTAGTAGCACTTAATGCAATATCCCATTCCAGTCTCCAGCTCCCCCTTTACCACTACCATTTACTAAGCACCTACGCTGTGCCAACTACACGCAGCATTGCTTGTACTCCAGCTCTAAGCCTCACAACACCTCTGCACAGGAGGCGGTGTTACGAGCATTTTAACGAATGAGAAAACTGAGGGACTCCGAAGGTAAGCAGAGAGGTCAAATCTACACCATGACAGGGCTGGAGGCAAAAGGCAAGTGCCTCACTAAGACAACAGAAACACAGGCAGTTTCTGAGCCCTCGCTGAGATTTCCTTTTACAATTGGTGCTCAAAACAATCACATGAAAATAAATCACTGTCGAGTGCAAGATACAAGGAAGAAAACAAAGATGTACAGAGAAAGACTTCGTGCTCTTCCAAGGCAAGGGTGGGGATACGATGGATATGTAAGCATATATAAGTATTACGATGTATATGTAAGTATAGGTAAGTATTATGATGTATATGTAAGTATACGTAAGTATTTCACGGTGCTGGTAACAGTAACAGCAGCTCAATTTATTAAATGCTTGCCGCTGGCCAGTCACTATGCTGAAGGCTATATAAGGAATATCTCTTCAAATCCTCACAATAAACCTAGGTACAATTATCATCACCATTTTAGAATTTGTCAAACTGAGAGTTAAAGGCAGCATAAAATTTGTGCAGGGCCACATAATTTAGCAAATGGCAGAGCCAGGATTCAGGCCTAGGCCAGTTGGCCCTCAAGCTAAGCTGTTAACTATTAGGTTGGTGCAAAAGTAATTGTGGTTTTTGATACTACTTTTAATACTAATACTATGCCACGTCGCCTCTGTGGAGAAGTATCACCCTCAGAAATTCTTCAGGACCCAGGCAAGCAACAGGAAGCGTCAGTGGAGCGCCAGCAGTCAGGAGAACAGACTTTAATACCATCGATGTATTAAAGTGTCTGGATTGGAAGTGAAAGATCGTCACCCTTCTACAGTAAGGAGGTCCATTCTGGTCTCATCCCTCACTGACTTCTTCAACTACTGTTTCTCCTGTTCCCTACTTCAGGCATGAACGAAAACCGTTTCCACTGTACACATTCTCTGAAAGCCTTGCTGGCCAGGTGCAGTGGCTCAACGCCTGTAATTCTAACACTTTGGGAGGCCGAGGTGGGAGAATCGTTTGAGTTCGGGAGTTCGAGACCATCCTAGGCAATATCAATGTCAGCCAATGGGAAGGTACTGAGAACAAAAGTTGAGAAGGGAGAGCTCTTAATCAGAAAGAGCAGAAAACTAAAAAAACAACAACAACAAAAAAAACCATCAGAGTTGACTTTCTCCCTCCTTCACTGAGAGGGGTATCATGCTAGGTTGGTCTCAGAATGATACGTACATTGAACTGCAAATGACTTATCCAAAGACCAGGTATCCAGTCCCGGTATCAGCTTTAACCACCTGTGTAACTCTGAGGAAGTCACTTGATCTCTCTGAAACTCAGTTTCCTCTTCTGTCTGCTGAGGATAATCTATCACCGCACCACAAGACCGCTGAGTGGGTCAAATGGTGCATACAAAGTATCTGCATGCTGCCAAGCACTGTACATCTATTAGTTATCAATGTTACCCCTCAGATACCGCCAAAACACTGCACCTGTCACACACGTATCTCCTACAGACCTTTTAAGGGCACTCAGATACTCAGCAAAGCCCTCGTTCTCCTTCACGTCCTCTCTGCTCCAAAAAGCCTGTGCCAAGGACAAGCCAGACGCATGAGCTGTGCCAGGGGTTGTTGGCAAGATGCCTACAGGCCTCTTCCCCACGAATGCCCGCTTTTTAGCTCTGACCTTCTCTAGGTTAATGAATACTATCTCTTAGACCTTCTGCTCCACAGGCCATTCAAATTTGGAGGCTCTTACGAAATAACTACATAACGGGGTCCCAGTTCAGGCAAATCACTGTCACCTTTGCTAGGCTGGTTTCTCTGGAACTCATCTAATGGGACTATCCCCGACCCCAAATCTTCCCCCAGACCCCCTCTTCCTCTCCCTCCAAGCTTCCCTAGCCCGGCCTCCTTATTTCCCTTTTTCGCCTTCTGAACCCACACTGGATGCCTTCTCTGGGCCAGACACTGGGCTGGGCGCAGTGCACTGTGCAGAGAACAGGACCAGGGCCCGGCCCTCGGAGAGCTGCCCCCGCCCGCCCTCGTGACCCCGGCCCCGGCCCGCCCCTCACCGCAGCAGGTCCTGCAGCACCGTGGCCAGCCCCAGCGGGACGCTCCCCTTGCGCTGAAAGGCCTCCTGCAAGTCCCGCAGACGCAGGCGCACCACCCCCTGGCGGCGGCTGTGGCTCAGCACCAACGGCGCCCAGAAGCCCATCTTGCTGTCCCAGTCGGTGCTGTTCACCTCGCGACTCCTCTTGAAAGCGGAGAACAGGAAGGACATGCGCTCCTCGTCCTCCTCCCACTCGGGGGGCAGTAGGCCCGCCGGGTCTCCCCCGGCCGGGGCCTCGGCCTCCCGCTCCGGGGACCACATCGGAACCCCCCAGCCCCGGCAAGGCACCGAACACAAGCCCGGCCCTGGTCCCCTTCCGCCCTAGTTCCCTCCCGGCTTCCGTTCCTTGACCACCTCCTTCTCGTTCACACGTCACCGCCGCCCCGAGCATGAAATAAGTTCCGTAAGTCTTCAAGGCGCATGCGTTGCGTTGCGCTCCGTAAGCGGGCGGCAGGATGATGTTCTTTTCAGAGAGACACCGAGCGCTTGCGCCGACCCCTCCTCCCACGGTCTTTGTGCGGAAAGAAAGGCTTGCGCCTGCGCGGCAGGTAGCTGCGCCTTACGTTCTCTTCAAGATCCCGGAGTCTGGCAAAGCGTTCTACAGCGGCTTCTGACCTGTGGCTTCAGAAAATGGAACGGGGGAATCGCCGCAGAGGGGCGCCAGTGGTGCCTGGACCACCCGGATGGATCCGTGAATCTCTGTATAGAGGGAAATTTATATCAATGAATGTACAAACCAGAAAAGAAGAAAGATCTAAAATAACCTAAGATTCTACCTTGGGAATCTAGAATAAGAACAAATTAAGTTCCAAGTAAACAGAAGAGAAAAAATAAAAGAACAGAAATCAATGAAATTGAAAACAAAATCAAAAGAATATCAACAAAACCTAAAGCTGATTTTTTGAAAAGGTCAATGAAATTGATTAACCTCTAGCCTGGCTAACAAAGAGAAAAAACAAATAGTCAATATCAGAAATGAAATAAGGGACATTACTACAGATCCCGTAGGCATGAAAATGATAATAAAGGAATCCTATGAATAACTGTATGTCCACAAATTTGATAACCTAGGCGAAATTGACACATTTCTTGAAAGCACACTCTGCCAAAACACACAAGAGGAAACAGACCACTTGAATATATTTATATCTAATTAATTGAATCAATAATTAATAACATCCAAACAGAAAGCATTAGGCTCAAATGGTTTCATTTGATAAGTTCTACCAAATATTTAAAAAACAAGTTATGCCAGTTCTGTGCCATCTCTTTTATGTGATAGAAACAAAAGGAATACATCTCAACTGAGCCTATGAGGCAAGAATTACCCTAATGCCAAAACCACACAAACGACATTACAGGAAAGAAAAAACACGACCGGGTGTGGTGGCTCACGCCTGTAATCCCAGCACTTTGGGAGGCCAAGGCAGGCGGGTCACGAGGTCAGGAGACTGAGGCCATGCTCGCTAACTCGGTGAAACTCCGTCTCTATTAAAAATGCAAAAAATTAGACGGGCGTGATGGCGGGCGCTTGTAGTCCCAGCTACTCGGAGGCTGAGGCAGAAGAATGGCGTGAACCCGGGGGGCGGAGCTTGCAGTGAGCAGAGATCACGCCACTGCACTCCAGCCTGGGCGACAGAGCGAGACTCCGTCTCGGAAAAAACAAAAACAAACAAAAAACGCAAAATAATATATCTTGTGAATACAGATGCAAAAACCCTCAATAGAATATTAGCAAATTGAAACCCACAATGTATTGAAAGAATTGTACACCAGGATAAAGTGGAATTTATTACAGTTAGGCAAGGCTAGTTCAATGTTCAAAAATCAATTAATATAATCCACCAATAGGCTAAAGAAAAATCATATGATCATATCGCCATATGCGGAAAAAGCATTTGACAAAATCCAACACCAGCTCATGATAAAAAGTCTCGGCACTCCAGGAACAGAGGGACACATCCTCCACTTGATAAAGAACATAAGCAAGAACCTTACAGCCAACATAAGAATTAATGGTGAGAACTGCCGGGCGCGGTGGCTCAAGCCTGTAATCCCAGCACTTTGGGAGGCCGAGACGGGTGGATCACGAGGTCAGGAGATCGAGACCATCCTG